TGGTGGAATCTTCAGGGTCCTCTACATACAGTACCAGGTCATCTGCAAATAACTACAGTTTTACATCTTTCTTTCTGATTTGGATACTTTTTATTTCCTTTTCTTGTCTGGCTGCTGAGTCTAGGACTTCTAGTACTATCTTGAATAAGAGTGGCAATAATGGACATCCCAGTCTTGTTCCAAATCTTAAAGTGAAATCTTGCAGTTTTTGCCCATTGAGTATGAGGTTGGTAGTGGGTATGTAATATATGACCTGTAACATTTTGTTGAGGTATATTCCCTCTATCCCCATTTTGCTGAACATTTTTGTCATGATTGGGTGCTGAATTTTATTAAATGTTTTTTTTGCATCAATTGATATGATCATGTGGTTTTTATCCTTCATTTCAAACCACAATAAGTTATCACTTCACACCTATCAGAATGGCGACCATCAATAAATTAATAAAAAACAAATGTTAGTGAGCACTAGAAAAAGGGAAACCCTTGTGTGCTGCTGGCAGAATGTAGATTGGTCAGTCACTCTGGAAAGCAGTATTCAGTTACTTCAAAAAATTAAAAATATGAGGACTTCTGGCAAGATGGAGGCATAGGTGGATGCACCGTACCTCCACGCACAACCAAGATTAGAACAACAACAATTTAGAGGCAGAATAACACCTAGAACTGACAGAGAATTTATCTGATGGAAGTTGAACTGCCAAGAAGTTGAAGTAGACCCGTTCATCCAGGCCGGTAAGAGGGGCGGAGACAAGCAGCCGGATGTGGGTTGCAGTGCGGAAAGCAGAGAGCAGTGGGCGCATAAGGCAACTGGGAGTGCGTGAGGCAACCGGGGCGCACAGGATAGCAGCAGGTCGACCCTGAGTACGCGAGCAGCAGCTGGAGGACCCAGCGAGGCAGCAATTGTGGACCGGGACAGAACGCGCAGCCCAGGATCCCAGGGAAGGGACTGTGGTCCCAGGAGAGTGGAGCTAACACCATTGTTCCCTCCCACCCCTGCCCCCACATACAACGTCACAATCAGGTGATTGGGGTGCCCAGCCCTGGTGAACACCTAAGGCTCCGCCCCTCACCCTAACAGGAGCGACCAGACCAAAAAAAAAAAAAAAGAAAGAAAGAGAGAGAGAGACATGTCTCAAACAGAAAAACAGATCAATGCCCCAGGGCTTATCCTTTTGAGCAACCAAGACATAGCCAATCTATCAGATGCACAGTTCAAAACACTGGTGATCAGGAAGCTCACAGAATTGGTTGATTTTGGGCGCAAATTACATGAAAAAATGCAGGTTACCATAAAAGAGATGAAGGAAGATGCACAGAGAACCAATAGTGATGGGAAGGAAACTGGGACTCAAAACAATAGAGTGGACCAGAAGGAAGAAAAAAACAACCAAACAGGAAAGAATGAAGAAATAAGAATCCAAAAAAACGAGGAGAAGCTTAGGGACCTCCAGGACATCTTTAAACATTCCAACATCTGAATTATAGGGGTACCAGAAGGGGAAGAGGAAAAGCAACAGATTGACCATGTATTTGAACAAATAATAAAGGAGAACTTCCCCATTCTGGCAAAGGAAATAGATTTCCAGGAAATCCAGGAAGCTCAGAGAGCCCCAAAGAAGTTGGACCCAAGAAGAAACACACCAAGGCACATCATAATGACATTAGCCAAGGTAAAAATGAAGGAGAGAATCCTAGAAGCAGCAAGAGATAAGGGGACAGTAACCTACAAAGGAGTTCCCATCAGACTGTCAGCTGATTTCTCAAAAGAGACCTTACAGGCAAGAAGGGGCTGGAAAGAAATATTCCAAGTCATGAAAGACAAAAACCTATATCCCAGAATACTTTATCCAGCAAAGCTTTCATTTAGAATGGAAGGGCAGATAAAATGCTTCTCAGATAAGGTCAAGTTAAAGGAGTTCATCATTACCAAGCCCTTATTTTATGAAATGTTAAAGGGACTTATCTAAGAAAAGAAGATAAAGAAAAAACATGTATAGTAAAAGGACAGCAAACTCTCAATTATTAACAACCACCCCTAAAGCAAAACCAAAAGAAACTAAGCAAACAACTAGAACAGGAACAGAACCACAGAAATGGAGATCACATGGAGGGTTAGCAACAGGGGAGTGGGAGGAGGAGAGAGGTGGAAAAGGTACAGAGAATAAGTAGCATAGATTGTAGGTTGAAAATAGGGGAAGGGTAAGAATAGTATGGGAAATGTAGAAGCTAAAGAACTTGTAAGTATGACAAATGGACGATGACTAAAGGGGGGGATTATGGGTGGGAGAGGGTATACAGGGTGGAGGGGAGTGAAGAGGGGAGAATGGGACAACTGTAATAGCATAATCAATAAAATATATTTAAAAAATTAAAAATGAAACTGCCTGATGACCCAGTGATTCCACTTCTGGGAATTTATCTGAAGAAACTTGATACAAAAACTTGAAAGAATATGAGGTCTATCCAGAAGGTATCCAGCCATGTAATATGAAAAATAGAGACATTTATTGAAGAAGGTATAGGACACTGTACACAGGACAATGATGCCTCAGTCCCCTTCAAAGTTGGCACCTTGGCTCCTCACACAGTTCTCCCAGTCACTATCAGCTGCCCTGTTGTATTATCCTGAATCTCATTGAAGATCTGAAATCTCTTCCCTTCAAAGGTGATTTTAGTTTTGGGAAAAGCCAGAAATCACAGGGCACCAAGTCTGGGCTGTAGGGGAGTTGAGTCACCTGGGTAATTTGATGTTTCAGCAGGAAACTCTGCTTGACACATGATCCATGAGCAGGAGTATTGTCATGATGAAGCTGTCAATCACCAGTTTTCCACTGCTGTGACTTTCTGAATCATCTTAAGAGTTTTCGTGGAGGAATGTTCAAGCTTAATGCAAAATTTGATGCAGATTCATTGTTCTACTTGCTCATTTTGAATGTGATGGCCACACTGTACACATGCTTACTCAAGGTGTCTACTGACTCCACTGACTAATACAGTGAAGTCATCATTGTTCACACATGTGTGTTCCAGTCCACTCTCCATTGCTGCCAGGTTATGGCAATTTTGTACAAACTATTCACCTTATATTAACAATGGCTGGACTTTTTCCAGACAGACCTTGTATATGCACCTCTATTCATTGCAGCATTATGCACAATAGCCATGATATGGAAGCAGCCCACTGTCCATAAGTAGATGAGTGGATAGAACAACTATGGTACACCTACACCTTGGAATATGACTTGGGTATAAGAAAGCTTTACCCTTTGTGACAGCATTGATGGGCCTGAACATTATGTGAAGTGTTATAAGCCAGTCAGAGAAAGACAATTACCATGTGCTTTCACTCATGTGTGTAATCTATGAACAATCTGAATTAACAAGCAAAACAGAGACAGAGTCATAAGAGAGTAGACTGACAGATTTGGGAACAGGGGTGGGAGGTGGAGGGATCCAGACAAAAAGAAAAATAACTCATAGACACAAAAAAGAGGGTGATGATTGCAGGGTGAGGGAAATGAGGGGCATAAATGCTAATGGAAAACATACAATGAAGAATTAATTAATTAAATTAAAAATGAATAAATGATCATATATGTCATTTTTTCTAGGTTATGTTACTTTGAGCATTTGATCACTAAGCTTCAGTTTCCTTACTGTAAAACAGGTTAATAAATAATCTGTTTCAATGGTTGGGTTCACTTAACAGCAATATAATAGAAGTGAAAAAATGGAAGTAAAAATTACCCTTTAAAATCCCATAAAGACTAAGCAAATATAGTCTTGTTTATCCTGCATAATACTCACTAAAACCAGCACAGTCAATGTCAGTCATAGCTCTGGAACACATCAAAACCTCAGATAAATGACAGATTCCCAATCCCCCTATCCAAATCCCTTGGGCCCAGATATATTTCAAAATTCTACGAATTGAGGTAAATAGCATATTTCATAATATCCCAGCAGATTCTGAGGCAGCATACTACAAATGAGCATTATTATTGTGAAGTAGAATTTATATAGGTCCTCAAATAATGTCTTTTTATTATAATATTGATGAGATGTTGTAGGAACTGAACTCATTTACATCAATTAGCCTATAGTAATATTGGTTTCATTATACATTGTTTTGTTTAAAGTCTCAGAACCTATCGATGATGTTAAGTGAGGACTGATTGTGTGACTATCCATTGTAAAGGAGACAGAGATGATGTGTATATACTCGTATGTATCCTCATGTTCATTTAGATCAGGTTTTGCCATTAAACTGTTGACTTTCACAATTTGTTGGGTTACAAAATCATTGACTAATGTCAGTCTATGTCTCAGACCCAAAGCATTCTGAAACAGAAGTAACTTTTTTCAAAATATGCTGAGAGCCCAATGTTCAATTTACTTAAGTCAAATGAAATTAAAAACAAAAACTATTTACTAGTTATGTCCCACCAGCCTTTACTTTCCTGAAAATTAAATGTTGGTATCTGTGACTACAAAATCAGGGACAGAGTTCTAGCAAGAATGCAAGCAGAATAAGAGAAGCTAATTTCTAACTTTAGGGCTTTCATGAGGCTATGTTAATGGTAACTTGATATTTAATAGTAATTTTTGCCTTGTATGCTGATTTAAGACTCTAAAGCCTAAAGATACAGGGATGTCCAACCTTTTGGTGTCTCTGGGCCACACTGGAGGAAGAGGAGTTATCTTGGGTCACATGTTAAATACACAAACACTAATGAAAACTGATGAGCAAACAAAGGTTTTAAGTAAATCTATGATTTTATGTTAGGCTGCATTCACAGCCATCCTGGGCTGCATGCAGCCTGCACGTTGGACACCCCTGCTAGAAGATACTACTCCATTTTATCTAATTTCAATAGAAGTTATCTGCACTACTCTTACTGATACACACTGAATTTATTATCAGATCTGGTGAATGTTATTCTTATTTAAAATTATGGATGATCACAGAGCAAAAAATAAAAATGAAAATAGCTTACTAATGACTGAACATGTCATAAATTTATCTTGAGTTTTTTCTTCAAATTTTTCTTTAGCTTTTTTCGACCACTGCAATGTCCCTTTACATGGTTCAATATAGGCCAGCTTACATTTAATTGCCTGTGTCAAACAAAATTGCACCATTAAGACAGTGAAATTAATTTCTAGTTATTTTAGAATCTAAGCTTTATGTTAGCTGTGTTCAAACTAAACTTTGTGTTTCAATTTAAAACATATTCAGAAGATAAATATGCAAGATGTCTACAATATTACTTTATAAATTCAAACAACTGGAATCAACAGGGTATTTGGTTAGATGAATTACTGTACACTTAAATTATGGAATAACAAGCATCCATTAAAAGAATTATAGATCCTTATGCTATATTGTTAAATGACAAAAACAGGTTATAGGACTATACTATAGTTTAATCCCATAATTGTTAAAAAAACACAATGGATCTTAGAAGTACATATTTCAAAAAATATTAAATAATTTTGAGTAGTTTCCCTCAATTTGCTTATCTGTATTTTCAAGCTTTTTCCCTATAACTTTCTATCCATTTACCAAATGAAAAATATTGCTCAAAAGCAATTCAGAGGATTCTAGAAGGACAAATGTTTTTCTCTTTCATCTAAACATCTCTTTTTCTCTTGCACGTTATATACACTGAAACATAAATGGGATCACGGTAAAAGTACTTCTTCAATGAGCTTTTTTTCCACATAATCTGTCATACTTTTACCACATTATACATATATTTCAAAATAACATTAAAAATTGCAGACCAGAGTTCTCATAAAGACACAAATATATATACACATATATTTTTCTAAAAGTACTTATTTACTAAGATACACAATGTATTTTTTAAATAACTATAGCAACTTTTTTCTATAGTCCATTTAACAAATTATAGGCAAATATGGCAGTTATCAGAAACTTCCATGTGAAGATGGCTTCTAAAAATGCTTTCATATATGTGCTAAAATTCTAACCCTATAATTCACTGTAAGTAGAATACCTTCTCTGGGGGATTCAGAAACTCATCCTTTATTTTACGCATTTCTTTAAGTGTTATTTTTGCAGTATTGCCAAAGTCCACATATTTAACTTCAACTTCACGATGTCCAGGCAATCCTTCAAAAATTATGAAATTAGAAAAATTTTTTAAATTATGGAAAGAGAAAACTAGCAAAATTTAGAGTGATTCGGACTGAACTAGATTAGAATACTTTTATGCTAAACATACAAACTTAATATTTTTTAAAATGTAAAAAGTATTTCTAATATGTGAACTTCAAAAAAATTCAACCATAATGCACAGTTTTTCAAACTTGGTGAATGAGAAACTAACATGTTATTGAAAGGACAACCAAAATCAGGATAACAAAATAACTATCAAGTGCTTGGGGTTAGGCCTAAGAGTTAAGAATTAGGCTTTTAATTAGACTGACTGGATTAGAAACGTAGCTTAGTTACTGAATGCCATATGACTCTAAGCAAGTTAGTTAATATCACCAAGATACTACCCTGAGCAAGTTCATTTTTTCCTCCAACCTTCACCATTTTATTTGTAAAATGGATACACCAAAAAGAAAATCAAGTCTTGCACAGCTTTTTTTTGGAGGATTCACCAATTTCAAAAATTTTGCAAAACACCAAGCACAAAGTGAGCACTTAAGTATTGACTTTCAACATAGGATCAAACAAGGCAAAATATTTAATAATCAAACTAAAAATGTATTCATATAATGGTAGCTAACTATGAAATTTTAAAAATTATTTTGGGGATATTGTAAAAATGACAAGTAGAGGTAGACCTCTCTCTCTCACACACACACACAGAAATATGTATTTTTAATCCTTACTTGAGAATATGTTTTCATTGATTTTTAGAGAGAGAAAGTGGGAGGAGAGGGAGGCAGAGAGAGTAAGAGAGAAAGAAGCAAATAAGTCATAGAGAAACATTGATCAGTTGCCTCTCATACACACCCTGAAGGGGGATTGAACCAGCAATCTAGATATGTGCCCTGACAAGGAATCAAACCCACAACCTTTTGGTGTATGGGACAATGCTACAGCCAACTGAGCCACTTGGCCAGGGCTAGTTCTGTATTTTAAAGGATACCAAACAAACCTCTGAAAGATAAAAACACAGTGAAGTTTGAATAAAGTCTTCAAAAACTTTTTGAATAAAGTCTAACAAAAACTTTAAACCCCTCCCCCCCAAAACTCAAAGTATACCATTGACTTTAGGTTCTCTCACCACATGTATATAGTGCTAGTAAATTTGTTGCCATCAGTTTCAAATTTAAGGATTTTGTTTGGAAAAGTACAGGCATTCTTTGCTTCTTAATAGAAGTGGAAGCAGGTAGAACACAGGTACTCAAGATGACACTTCAAGATGACAGTCACCATATAGTAGGTGACTGAGAGGACACTTGTCCCTAGAAGGTAAGAAGGTGAGGGAACTTCTCTCTACTTCTACTGGAATCTACATCTAGAAGGATATTCTCAACTGTAACAATACCATTAAGCCTTATCATTCCTCAAGTCTCTTTTTTTAATTCTGATCTCTGAGTTATATTTATTCATTTTGATTTAAAATATTTAAAATTTTTTTTGCTGTCCAATTACACTTGTCCCCATTTCCCACCCCAATACTCTCCCCTGCCCCATGCACCCCCACCTTCCACATCCAATCCTGCTCCCCCATTGTCTTTGCCCATGGGTCCTTCATATATGTTCCTTCTTCAAGTCTCTGAATGAAGATGTCATTTAAAAAAAACAGAAATAAGGTATGGAATTTAAAGATTATTCTTTTACCCAAATTATCAATCATGCTTGAGAGGGAGTCAAGAGACATGCGAGGTCTCAAAATTTACCTACCATTTATTCTCTCTGAGGAAATATTTAGAAGATGCTCCCACCAAAATAAGGGAGGAAACCAAAGAGACAAACATGAGATCCAGAAAACAAGGGATCCCATACAGAGAAAAATAAAGTGAATAATCAAGTGAAATAAATTCTCAGAATAACTAAGTGTAGTAAGCCTGGAGGACAAGTAGTCTAATTGGAGCGGAAGAATTTTTTTTAAAATATATTTTACTGATTGTGTTGTTATAGTTGTTCCAATTTTTTCCCCTTTTGGTCCTCACCCAGCACCCTTTAATCCCCTCAGGCAATGCCCAAACCATTGTTCATGTCCATGGGTCACGCATATAAGTTCTTTGGCTACTCTATGTCCTAGGTTGTACTTTACATCCCCATGTCTGTTCTGTGACTACCAATTTATATTTTTTAATCACCTTAACTCTTCACCCATTCCCCCAAACCTTCTCCCATGTAGTAACCATCAAATGCTCTCTGTATCCTTCATTCTGTCTGTGTTCTTGTTTGTCTAGTTTTTAAAATTCAATTGCTAATAGGTATGTGTTTATTGCCATTTTATTATTCATAGTTCTGATCTTTTTTCTTAAATAAGTCCCTTTAATATTTCATATAATAATGGTTTGGTGATGATGAACTCTTTTAGGTTTTTCTTGTCTGGGAAGCTCTTTATCTGCCCTTTGATTCTAAAAGATAGCTTTGCTGGGTAGAACAATCTTGGCTCTAGCTCCCTGCTTTTCATGCTTTCAATATTTCTTGCCAATCCCTTCTAGCCTGCAAAGTTTCTTTGGACAAATTAGCTGACAGCCTTATGGGGACTCCCGTTCTCTTGCTGCTTTTATGGTTCTCTCTTTGTCATTAACCTTTCGAATTTTGATTATGTGTCTTCTTATGGACCTGTTTATGTCCATCTTGTTTTGGACTCACTGTGCTTCCTGGACTTGCATGTCTATTTTCCTTACCAAATCAGGGAAGTTTTCTTTCATTATTTTTTCCAATAGCATTCCAATTTCTTGCTCTTTCTCTTTTCTTTCTGGCACCCCTATGATGCGAAATGTTGGTTTGCTTGAAGTTGTCCCAGAGGCTCCTTATGGTTATTTCTTGTTTCCTTATGTTCCAGATCATTGATTTGATTCTCAGCTTCATCTACGCTAGTGTTGTTTCCCTGTAAATTGTTTATTTCCATTAGAATATACTTCATTTCTATCTGTCTCTTTCTTATGCCATTGAGAAACTCACTGAATTCCTCGGGCATTCTTACAACCACTGTTTTAAATTCTGTATCTGACAGATTGCTTATCTCCATTTTGTTTAGTTCTTTTTCTTGAGTTTTGATCCTTCTTTCATTTTGGCCATGTTTCTTTGTCTCCTCATTTTGGCAACCTCCCCATGTTTATTTCTTTGTATTAGGCAGAGCTGCTATGACTCCCTCTCTTGGTAGCCTGGCCTGTAGGCTCCAGTGGCACAGCTTCCCCTACTACCCAAACTGGGTACTCAAGGTATGCCCTTCATGTGGGCCGAATATACCCTCCTCTTGTAGTTGAGCCTTGCTTGCTGTTGGCAAGTCTCTGGGAGGTTTTTACTCAGACTAGTCAGTTGCAAAGACTGGCTGTGATCACTAACCACCAACCTCCCCTTTCCATAAAGGATCAGCTGTACCAGCACAGGGTGGTGGTGCCCCAATGTGGTCTGTAGCTGTCCATGGGGTGAGTAGACTCGGGTTTCCTGGGTGGTTCGGGTCAGCATCAGCCACCAATTGTGTTCTGCCTGGAGACACCTAGCTTGAGCTACAAAGCTATCTGCAGATGACTACTACTTGTGCTGGGCTTGGAAGTTCCAAGGCAGAGCCAAACTGATCCAAGGGTTGCTGCTACTTGTGCTGGTCCTGGGTCTACTTAGACAGAGGTACAGGGCTGGGGGAAGGCCATTAATTGGGTGGAGTGGAGCTTCAGTTAAATGCCAGGGCAAGGGAAAGAGTTTAAGCCAGGCTGATGGAGTCTCAGATGTGGCTACAACCTGCCAATTGTGGCTCTGTGGAGAGAGGGCTCAAAAAAGGTGGACAATTTACTCTGTTGCATTTCTTTATGGGAGAGAACTGTCCCTTAGCTCTTGCCCTGATGCCAGACACATTAGTTCCTGCTCAATATGCCATTAGTGCCTTTCAAGGGGCTATCTTGGTGATGCCAGAGCTCAGACAGAGTGCCTCTAAGTTTGGCACGGGCCCTTTAAGAGGAACTGTCAGGGAGCCCTGTATTTCTTTTTCATCAACTTCAATTCCACTGGCTTTTACAGCCAGAAATTATTGGGGCTTCTCTTCCTGGCACCAGAACCCTGGGCTGTGGGGCCTGGTGTAGGTCTAAGACTACTCACTCCTGAGATATCCCTGTTGTATTTTTATTCACCCCACATGGGTGTGGGATGTGCCTGTTCCACATCTCCCAACCCTTCTAGATTGTTGTGGTTTCTTTAGTTTTGTAGTTGTCTGACTTCTACTCAACTTGATTTCTGACTGTTCTGAGTGACCTTTGGTCTGTAGTTTAACTGCAATTTTGATGTGGTTGCGCGAGTAAGCAAGCTGTGTTTACCTATGCCTCCATCTTGACCAAGGTCTCCAGAAGAATGTTTTCAAAGTTAAAAAAAAAGATCAAGCTACTGTATTTTGCTATGTACAATGCATATTTTTTTTTGCCCAAATTGTTGAGAGAAAAATAAGGATGCGCATTATATATGCATAATACCTCACATACCTTGTATCTGTTCTTCTGTTTTGTAATTATTTGTTACATAAAATTTCTTGTACCAAAATACATTAAAAAATAAATGCTAAAATTCTTTTACAATACAAAAAAGTATCTAAATATAAGTGAATAAAAATTGAATTAAAAAATTAAAAGTTTTTCCTGAAAGTTTGGGCCAAAAACATGGGTATGCATTATACATGGCAAAATATAGTAATATTATCTGGAAGTCTAATCACATGGATAATTGTTTCAAATTATTAGGAAGATGTAGCCATAAATTAAAAGAAAAAGGGAAAAGTTAATGCAATTATTAGCTCAGAACTAAAGGATACTTTATGGCTTACTAGAGAAAATATTTACATAGAATAATTAACTAAAAAATGTCAGACTTCTATGGGGGCTAAGGTGAAGACAAAAGAGCAACGAGAGATCTAGAACTTATCTATCAAAATAGATAACAACTAAGACTAAAGTATCAACACAGTATTACATATTACTTAGAAGAAACAACCCAGGTAAATACCAAAAAATGGCTGGAAGAAAAGAGAAATGGTTGAAAGAATTAAACACATTTGCCTTTTAGGAGGAGAATGGAGTATAACTCATTTAGCATTATTCAATTTTATAAATATAGTGGACATAAGAAAACAAAGCAAAACAAAACAAACAAACGGTCAAATCAAATGAAATCTAAGAAGCCAGAAATTCATCTTCCAACATTGCTATCATTAGTTTTCTAGACAAATGACAGATAAAAATTATAAGATCAAATAATATCATTCCCAAAATTCAATGTGTACTCAGATGGTATCTCTTCTTAAGCATAACATTTCCCTGGAAAAATAGCGTGCAATTGCCTACCAATAACTTTTGCTCGGTACCAAACTCCATCTTCAAATTTGGCTACACAGGCTTGGTCTTGAACTGGACAGAGGATTTCCAGATTTTCCCCATCTTCACTTTTATAAAAATCTTCGATTCTTTTTAATAGAAATAAAAAATCCAGGCTCCCTACCTAAGAAATAAAGGAATTAAACACTGTAGTTTCTTAGAAACGTAAGATTTTAATGTTGCATGTATTATAGACATTGCTCATAAAATTATACAATGTTGGAATTAGATATAAATGTTATGTAATTTAAATATGAAATAATTTCAAAAGAAGCATACAAAATTAGCAGACATAAAAATTTTTAATCACATTATTCCAGATATCTTAAGTATATATCCTTCTAGATATTTTTCTACACTTTCCATTCTTTTGTTTTATAAAAAATGAAACCATACCATAAAGTACAATTTAATAACCAGCATTTTAAATCAATTCTCACCTTCTATATTTCAGTAAGGGCCCCTACTAGTACTTCTAGACCATATTTAGATTTCCCCAGCTGACCACAATTAGTATCCAATCCAAGACTACATATTGTATCTGGCTGTCTTAGGAAGTCTAGGATACTGTTCCTTTTTTAAAATGACCCTGTCTTATTAAAAAGTGTGTTATTTTTCTGCAGAATGCTCTACCTTTTGGATTTATGTGGTTATGTCCTCATGCCATTATTTAACTTGTTCCTTCACCGAGTTAGGTCTATCCCTTGAATTTCCCCAAAGCGGAACAGTGCTATCTACAGGTGTGATGAATTAAAGTAATCCTTTTTTACTAGAATAGATGGTATATATGATAACTAAAATTGTTGCTATATCAAAATACATATTGTTACTGAATCACTATGAATGTGCTAAGATTCACCTATGGATTGGGGTGCTTATTCTGATACCTCCATTGTACAGTTATGTTCCCCCTGGTGGCCACCAAGAAATTCCTGTAGTGCTACACTGGCATCATGTACAGCTTCCTATCTACGACCCATATAATGGTTTTTCACTGAATTGATAAAATATTTAAATCAGTTAATTTCAGCAGAGCTTGTGACATGACCACATTATGTAATAAAATAGAGCTTTCTATTATTAAATAGGAACATTTGGTTACTTTAAATCATAGTTCTTAAAGTTTTTATAGTACCTAAAATAGTTCCTAAAGTAAGAAAAAAAAGCATTTGATTATTTCTCCAAAAACCAAATCTTAAGGTTAAAAAATTCATCTCAACTGGCAAAAAATTAAGTTTTTCTCTTTTGTGAGTATAATAATGCATGTGGAAATTTTCGGAATCTCTCTTTTCTTAATTAAGTTACTTTAAAAATACTTAACATTCCGATCTTTTACTTCTAAGGATGAAATACTTATATTTTTCCATTAACAGGTTATCTGAAGTGAACACTGAAAAATTCAACAGGGATGACAATAGCAAAATAGCAGACTAGGAAGTTCCAAGATATTGTTCTCCCATACAAAGATTGAAAAATCTAGAAATCATCTGAATAAACTTCATTAGAGCTCTGGAAAATAGCCAAAGTGTTACAACAACCAAGCAACACCTCATCAAGCTCTTGACATTCAAGGAAATCACTGTAAAATGTTTGCTGAATACAAGCTAAAGGAACAGGTACCTCAAAGATCACAGAAGGAATACTCTTTGCCAAAAATAGTTCTCTAAACAAAGAACAAACCAACAATTACAGTCTTCAACAATTAATTAACAAAAAATTAATTAACAATTTAATTAATTAACAATTAATTAACAAAAAAATCCAGCAAACCTGATTGGGGAAATCTGATTTTCAGAAGGCACACATAATAAACAGACAAAAACTGCCCCCGAGGAAGCCCAGATAGTGACATTACTAACAAAGACTTAAGAGCATATTTATTTTCTTTTTTTTTAAAGATTTTATTTATTTATTTTTAGGGAGGGAAGGGAGGGAGAAAGAGAGAGAGAAAGAAACATCAATGTGCGGTTGCTGGGGGTCATGGCCTGCAACCCAAGCACGTACCCTGACTGTGAATCAAACCTGCAACACTTTGGTTCACAGCCTGCACTCAATCCACTGAGCTATGCCAGCCAGGGCTTGAACATATTTCTTAAATATACTGAAAGAGCTAAAGCAAAACATCAACAAAGAATCAGAAGAAACCAGGAAAACAATAAAGGACCAAAATGAAAATATCAACAAAAATTAGAAATTGTAAAAAGGTATCAAACAGAAAGTGTGGAGCTAAAGAGTACAACAGCTAAAATAAAAAATATATTAGAAGGTTCAAGAACTGGTTTAAGAAAGCATAAGAAAGAATCAGTGAATATGATAGGAAAATTGAAATAATTTTTCTTCTTCCAGAGAAGAGCAGAAAGAAAATTCAATGAAGTGAACTAGAGACTGAGAGACTTGTGGAACACTATTAAACACACTGATATACTCAGTATGGGAGTTCCAGAAGGAGAGAGAGAGAGAAAGAAGCAGAAAGATTATTTGAAGAAATAATGCTCAAAACTTCTCAAATTTGATAAAAGACATGAACCTACAAATCCAAGATGCTCAATTTTATGGGTTGAATTGTGTTTCTCCAAAAAACAGTCATAAACCTTTATTTATTTATTTTGCAGTCATAAACCTGTAGCCCAGAATGTGACCTTAAACAGAGAAAGGGTCTTTACAGAGATAATCAAGTTAAAATGAAATCACATGGAAGGTGCTAATCAAATACAACTGGTGTCCTTATTAAAAGGAGTAAATTTGGGCAAAGAGACAAACACCTGGGAGAAAGCGTATGAAGATGAAGGCAAAGACTGGGGTGAAGTGGAATCCATGGAGCACCAAAAATTTCCAGCTAACCACCAAAAGCTAGTAGAAGGGCATGGAATAGATTCTTACTCACAGTCCTCAGAAGGAACCAATGCTACTGATAATTTGATCTTGCATTTCTAGATCCAGAACTGTGAGACAATAAAGTTATGTTGTTTTAGCCACTTTACTCATGGAACTTTGCTGGGACAGTCCTAGAAAATGCATGCAGATTTTTGTTCTGGAAAGTAGGATGCTGCTGTAACAAATACTTAAAATATGGCAGTGGCTTTGGAATTGGGCAATGAGTAGAAAAAGAAGAGTTGTGAGGTAACTGAATGAAAAAATACAGATTACTTTGAAAAGACTGCTAGTAGAAATATGAACATTAAAGGTGCTTCTGGTGAGATCTCAGAAGTAAGGAACATGTTATTGGAAATTGGAGGAAATGCAATTTTGGTTATACAGTGGTAGGGAGCTAGGCTAAATTGTGTTCTGTTGGATGGAACACAGAACTTAGATATTTAACTGTGGAGACCACTACGCAAAGTGCTGAAGCACAGCCTGCTTTCTCCTTGCTGCTTCTAATAAAATGTGAGAGGACAGAGATAAATCGAAGAACTGTTAAACATACAGATACCAGAACTTGAAGATTTAGAAAATTCTCATACTATTCATACTGCAAAATATGAGGAAGAGTGCTCTGGAGACAAAGCAAAGGCTTGGCTGGACACTATTTCCTCAGATTACAGGTATGTGAGTTGTGGACCCAATCAACCATCTCAGCAGAAACACTGCCAGCTTAAACTACAGGGGACAGAGACTGGAGTAAACTAAAAGGGGTTGCTAGACACATGGGATTCTATAGGTAGAAAGAGAGCTGACAGAGATATTGGCCATGAAATATGCTATCTTTCAAGAAACAGAAGAATGACCCTGAAGGTGATTCAGACTGATGTGTCTGCCACTGCCACCACAAACCCAGAGGGCAAAGAATTGAGAGGCTGTGTCTACCTCTGTTCCAGGGGTGGGGCCTCCTACTGGGTTCCAGAGGGAGAGGATAACTCTCAATTCCAATTGGTAGGGCTGCTGCCAGGGCTGAGATGATAGGGCCACCACCCCAGTGGGACTAAAGGACAGAGCACCTAGCCAAAGAGAATTATTTTCAAGACATAAGAATCAGAATTTGCCCTGCCAGGTTTGAGACTTGTCTGGTCTCACAGACTGAGATGAAAATAAATTTAGCCCTAGTTTTAGTGATACCCAATTCTTACCTACTTGACTTAGATGAGAAGATTTGGGATTTTCAGTTGAGTTGATGCTGGAATGATTAAGACTTTTTGGAATGCTAGAATGGGGTGAATGTATTTTGCATGGGGGAAGAAAATTAACTTTTGGTAGACCAGAGGGTGGACTATTGTGAGTGAATTATGTCCTCCCTGCAAAGTATGTAGGAGTTCTAACACCCTAGTGCTTCAGAATGTGATCACAGATAGCTATTTGAAGCCAGGGTTTTGACAGAGGTTATCAAGTTATTCAAAATAAAGTCTTATGTGGGACCTAGTTCAATATGACTGGTGTCTGTTAAAAAAACTGCAAAAGACAAGTACACAGAGAGAATTCCATGTGAAGAAGGCAAAGAGACTGGTATGATGGGTGCTAAGAGAAGGCAATGGATGCTAAAGACTGCCAGCAAACCACCAATATCTAGGGTAGAGACATGGAACAGATTTTCCCTCTCAGAGCTCAGAAGGAACCAACCTAGCCAACACATTGATCTTAGGCTACACTTCAGAATTCTGAGACAATAAATATGTTTTATTTAAACCATCCAATTTGTGGTATTTTGTCAATAGCAGCTCTGGGAAATTAGTACACTGAACAAACCCCAAGTGGGATAAATTCAAATGGATATGAACTGAGGTGCATAATGATCAAACCATCCATAGTCAAAGACATACTTCCAGCCAAGATGGAGGCATCAGTAACTACACTTTGCTTCCTCCCACAATAAAAAAAGGACAATAACAAATTTAAAAACAACAATAACCAGAACTGTCAGAACATTGAACCATATGGAAGTACAAAAACCATGGAATTAAAGAAACCTTTACTCAGACTGGTAGGAGGGGTAGAGATGGGCAGCCAGGGCACAGAGGATGAGCAGCAAGGCAGCAGCTGGTGGACCAGGTGGTTCCACATCTGGGTGTGGATAAACTGGAAGGAACAACTGGGGAGTGAGAGGGACCATGCAACCCACGGTTCCAGCACAGGAAAAAAAAAAGACTCAAAACCTCTGGCTGTAAAAATCTGTAGGAGTTGCTGCAGCA